ACTGGGTCACACTGGTATGAACTCTCTGTGGTTGCTGGTCTTGTAGAACTCCTGCAGGGTCACTGCAGAGCAACGTGAGCTGGAGTGTCTCTGGAGATTCTCAATCATCCAGGTCCTGGTTGTCCCAAAGGTGCTTTTTTCAAGAGGCAACTGGACTTTCTGTTTTTTCTTTGAAGATGTTTCGCTTCTCATCCAAGAAGCTGCTTTAGCTCTGACTGGCTGGTGGGGAATGGAAGGATTTATACTCCTTGTAGACAGCTGGACATTTGCATTCTTTTAGCTGGTCATTAAGGTCACCTGGAGGTTTATTTGTGTCATCAGGGTCACCTGAATGGTGCAAATTGGTGTGGATGTGGAGCCTTCTTGGAACTGTTGAAAGGACTGTGTTGTAGATTAGAGATAGATCAGCAGTGAAATCCACTTACCTTCGCTACCGGTTCGGGAATGGGAGTGTGCGTGCGTGCTATATATGCGCGCACCTCTTCTGTGCATGCAGAGAGAGTAAAAAACAGGATGTAATGTCGTCCTGGTGGAGCCTCCCGCCACCAGCGCTACTGATTCGCACAAGCTGGAAAGATCTGGCTGGATTTCACCACTGAGATAGATGATGTCGTATCCCTCCCCTTCTGTTGAGAGAGGGCTGTTCAATTTTGACATAGATGGCCTCTTTAACCCCTCTTTCAAACCAGCGATCCTCTCTGTCCAAAATATGGACTTTCTTCTTTGTTGTCTGTTGAGATGGCGTGATGCAAGAAATGCCAACAGAGCTGCTGGCAAAAGTTGAAGAGAGAAGGTGACCAGGCATAGGTGAATACCATTCCCCAATGATCTGGCAGCCCCCCCCCTCTTCTAACCTTCTGGAAGGCCTTAAAAAGCTGGTTCTTCCCAAAACCACTGGGATAAAATGCCAGGATTTGGGTTTAACTGTTGGTTTTATTATGATTTTGTGAGTTGCCCAGAATAGTGACACAGAGAATTCTTTTGAGTGAATGAATAAATGAGATCAACAATTTGTGATCCAGCTGTCCCAGTTTATAGTACATCAGTAATAGAAAGGAAAGAAATTAATATCAATGTGTACTTCTTGCATCTATGCTAGATATTAATTCAAAGGGAATTCCATTACAAATCTTTACTACATCAAAATATCTACTGTTTATGACCAAATAAAGATTGATTGACATACCACAATATAAACCACAAAAAGAGCAGGCAAAATTACATTTTTAGAATACTACTCACATGGTTTTTCTGCTACACTTTAAATTTAAGACAATCATCCTCAAAAAGGGTTAGACCCAGGGGTGGGCTCTACTTACCTTTACTACTGGTTTGCAACAGGAGTGCACATGGGCAGATCATCAATTATGACGTCCAGGCAGGTGGGCGGAACCTCCCGCTGCTTTTACTACCGGTTCTATAGAACCGGACAGAACCGGGAGCAACCCACCTCTGGTTAGAACCCCAAAAAAGTTTTATCTATATTTCGATTCTCAGCAGTAAGAAACTATTTAAAAGTAAATTATTGGAACAAACCACTAAGCTTTTATTTTGGGTAAATAAAAGTGAAAAAGTGTGCATGTATACAGCACTTTTGAATAAAAAGCGATAAAAAGACTACAGATTTTCTTATAAATACGGGAAATAGATGATTCTTCCTTGCCTTTTTATCCTTCTCTGTTAAAGCCATTGAGATTGTATCCTGAAAAGCAACTCCAGCCCCAGGAAACTCCCTCCCCTCCTGCACATTCATATTCCAAGTCCCTATTTAGACGAGATGAGCTAGCAATAAAGGCACTGCTGTTCCTCATGCCATAGTTCTTGCCTCCACCAGCTGATCTGATGACGGCAGTTGGGAGTCTACAATAGGAGGGCATTGACTGTCTGTGCCACTTAAGTACAACCAGTTCTGATTTTTCTCTGCAGAGGCTCCATCTGACTAAGAACAGCAGAATCAGGTTGGCTTCTGTGCCAATAAAATAATTGCTTTTCTTGCTATAGATTGGCAACAATGAAATCTGTACCTATAACAGAGAACCTGTTTTCTCTTTTAAATAATAGTGAATTATTCTTATACTTGAAACGAGGGGCGGGGGAATTGTTTTGCATTCTATGTGGGCCAATTGTGGATGATAAATTACTGTTCATGGTACAGCATGGAGTAAATCAATGAAGATTTATTCAAATCATAGTGAAGTAATTAATAATTAATACAAATAATAAAGTAGACTGGACTTTAATGCGATGCACAAAGCCAGATGAATGCTTTGCTCTGTTCCAGGTCAGCTGAGCAAGAATATTTGAAAAATTCAGTGGCTTGTGTTATTTAATCTCTCCTAATTATTTATATAATCCAATCCCTGTTCCAGTTTTTAAGGTTGTTTTATTTTGAATCAAGTTCAATTTTCTATTTCACTACTATGCAATATTACACTGTACTTTCGTGATGGGTCTTAGTTTGGGTAAATTTTTTATACGCATCTTAGTGTACATATAAGCATATTAATGAATTCTGTAACCCAGTAGCACAAAATGTTAAAAGCACATCGTACCCACTGAGACAGCACTTTTCTGGTGGTACACATGCCCAATTAAGATCCAACCATCACAATTGCCCAGTTACCATTGGCAGAAACAGCTGCAGCAGCTTCTTTGTAGTTTAGAATATTCATTAGTGGAAGCCAGCCTCCCTTTTCAAGGAAGACCCTTTGTAAAGTCAACAGTAGTGTTACATTCATAGTAACAGTTCTGTGGTGGAAAAGACTTGAGGGGAGGGTTTTTTGCTAGATTCTACCATTGTTAAGCAGCAATGACTCCACTAAGGGATCAAACTAAAACATCAGAAGATCTCAACTAGGCTCCAGCAGGCAACAACTGAACAGGGTGAAGAAATCCGATACAGCTTTCCCAAGTGTAGGAGCAACATATCCAGGCAGAAGCAGAGAATAGAGATAGCCAAGGGGATGATTATAGCTCAACAGGGCATGAAGAACCCTCCTTCCCCCACTCCTTCCCTCATCATAGATAGGCTACTGTGGAAGACATGGGGATTGCAGGCAGAGTGCAGCTACATGAAGAGAGTTGCCAATTCCATTACGTGTGAACAATAGGCAGTAGAAAACAAGCTATATAGACTGATAGAATCTGGTGATAAGAGCTTTTGAGTCATTTACTATTCCGTACTATATCTGCAATGCCTTCCATATATTAGGCAGGTGGGGTGAAAGATAAAGCTGCACTTAACATCTGATATGGAGCAGTCAGAACAGATCCATTTCTGTCTTATTGTTTAAATCAGAGAGGGAACATGATCTAGATAGGGCACCTTTCTGACAGCGGTTTTGGACTATTGAACGAGAATGGCAAAAAAGATAAATCACTATTAATCAGTTCTGATTGCCATGGCTGGGTGTTATTTGCCTATATTTATATAGGGTTACAGGGTAAATGACAAGTTTGTGCTGGATACTGCAACATCTTGTTCAGACACAAGGCAGCTGGAATGTATAGTTGGTATGTTGGGATTCTTCATATGAAAATTGCCCTACACAATATGAATAGAACATTAAAAACTGCATTTGTTCACAGGAATTAAAATTCTGCTACGTTGTGTTTATTTTTGGTTAATTTTTACTTTAAATTATAAGATCATCCAAATGGTGATTCTAGGTAGCTAATGTAAGGTTAAAAGCAAAGTAATGTGAAAGAACGTAGATTTCATCTTGGGAACGAAGCAGAGAACATTGAAACATTAAAGGAGACGAGAAAATAGTGTAAGAAAGGAACTTGGAATACAAATAGAGTTGGAAAGGACCTTGGAGATCATCTAGTCCAACCCACCGCTCAAGCAGTAGACACTATACCATTCCAGACAAATGGTTGTCCAATCTCTTCTTGAAAACCTCGTGATGGAGCACCCACAACTTCTGAAGGCAAGCCATTCCATTGGTTGATTGATTGATTGAATCTGCTTTCAAAAGGTATACATGGCCCTCCAACCAATAAATTGCAGCAAAAGTTAAAGTGGTTAAGAAATTCAGAAGGATTCAAAGGCTCAAAATTTCATAGGTGCATTTGACTCCCACCAAAATAGGCACTCACTGACCAGCCGTGACTCGTTTAGCAGAAATGCCATCTGGTTTCTCTGCTCAGAAGTACCTTAGGTGAAAACACTGCTTTGTAGTGAAACACTTATTTTCAAATTAATCCCACTTTGTATATTACAAATCAATCCCTCCTTGATTTTGTATGATATAAAACGGGGCAGAGAGAAACTCTTAACAGGCTATCAAGATGTTTTCATCCCATTCTATAACAATAAAAAATATTCTTGGAATTTTTCCTGTTTCTGAGTTTTGACCTTGCCTACCCTAAAGGCTAAAAAGGAAAAAATACAGAGCCAAATCAACCCACAAATATATTCCAGCCTGGAATATTGGGGCTATTTTAAATAATGTATGGCTGTTTCCCTATGAATTGGGGGGAAGTATATTAGAGGTGATTTTTCTTTAAGGACAGGGAGCAATTAATGCAAGATTCCTTAATTACATACAATGGAATCCTGTTAAGTTTAAAAATGATACATTCTCTACTGCTGAATGAAATTCCAAGAAGTATTTTTATTTTTTATTATTTAAATTCTAAAAGGATCCTTGGCTAATGCATTTTTGGAAATATTGATTTTTGAGTTAATTTGGATTGGCTTTAATCTGAAAAGAAATTTCAATTTCCAGAACCTGTATTGTTTGAGTCCAAAACAAAGATTGCACGGTTTGAAGCATGTACAATTTGCTTTTCTGCTATTATACCAGGATTAAGAAAGTGAAAACTATATCTGCTTTATTTTTAGGTGAGCAAATGATGTACATAGTCTTCTTAAATCAATCTTTTTCCTGGAACTTGGAAACGGAGCAACGATGAGGTTGCATGTAAAATGATACTTCTTGCCTACATCACAAGGTTGACTGCAGAGAAGAGGAAAAAAAAGGCAGAAACTTCTATCACTTTATCATTTTCTACTTTATTACTTCAAATTAACAACCACAATAAAGCTCAAAAAAGTCCAATATTTACACAGGAAAAAAGTACAAAATTCCCACCCCCCAAAGTTCAATTTTTTGTTTTTTTGTTTTTGTTTTAAAATTACAAAGTAATAAAAAGGTTTTTTTTACTTAATTAAAAAAAAGGAGAGAGACACAATAAGCAGGGTAAATAAATTAGGGGAAAACAACAACAAAAAAAACCTGTGTTAAATAGAAGAATTAAAAAAAGAAACCCAAAAACGCCAAGGCCGATCCACTTCTGAACATTCCAGACTGCCCAACGTTAAAAAAAAACAAACCCCAAGCTAAAGGCTGGAGGACAGTTGATGATGGCTGTGATGCAGAACTAAAGACAGATTGTTTTCTTGAATAAAACCTAAAAATTTAAAAACAAGAAGGGGGCAAAAAGGTAGAAGAAATCTTCTTACTGAAGAGGGAAGATGTGTTTGTCCTTCTAAAATTGATGTTACATGGAATAACCTCTGCAATTGCGTGGCTTCTACTCCCGCCCCTATCATTCACATACCCCTTCCCTTTTCCTCAGCTCCATCCCTACTCCTGCAAGAAAATAACAAAAACAAAATAAAAATAATAAAACTAAACACATCCAAACCGGTTGCTTGAGAGAGAGAGAAAGAGAGAGACTGCCATCCCTTGCACTAGAAGCAGGGTACATTTCTACGCCCTTCACATTTGTTGCTGCCTTGCACAGCAGATATCACTACCCACATCCACACCCTTAACACACAACTGCTGCTGTGCCAGTCCTGTTCACCTTATTGGTATGCCTATAGCATCCCACACGAATGCACACACAGGGGCAGTGGTGTCCCCAAAAGAAAGAATGCCTGAATACAAATAGCAGCCTTCGTCCACTGAATCTCCCCTGGAGGCAGTGCCAGCTTACCACTGCAGCCAAATTTGAAATGAATGTTAAACCACCTCCTGAAGCTCCTTGGAGCTGGAATTTTTAAAGTCTCCTGTAAACATCCTCCTCCCCACCCAAGAACCACAGAACAAAGATGTGATTAAAATTGTGTTGGAAACCTTCTTTTCTTAACTAACTGGACTTTCAAAACAATATCGAATAAGGCTTCTCTCTTTTTTTTTTTTGTGTGAACAATACATATAGATCGGAAAGGGAAGCAGAAAGATCTGGGTGGTGGCCACGGCCTGCTGGCATGAGACGGGCAAGGCCTATGGAGAGGAAGCTGCACAACAGCAGCAAAGGTGTTCCTGCAAGGCTCCTGCATGAGTGACTCGTCAAAGGCAATTTGGTTCGGGAACACAGCCGATGATCTCAGGAAAGACAAGGATGCCAGCACAGGGCAGATCCTCTCCTTGTTGCTGGCGGGGGAAAAAAAAGGTTGGCTTTTTTTTTGTTTTTTCCTTTTAATTTGTTTTTGTTGTTTTGTTTTTTAAAAGAAAAATACAGTGAAGACACTAGAAAAGAAAAAGAAAAGAACAGAGCGTTAAAAAGTGGTTTCTTCTCAGATATTCAAACACTGGATTGTCTTCCGATAAATTGGCTTAGCCCTAAATAAGTTAGCACTTATTTTATGAAGGAATCCCCATGCCCATCAATCTTTGGAACTTTAAGGGCTAGAAACTGCATTGAAAGAAGAAAAATAATCTCATATCTGCACTCGTGTTTTTAAAGCTATACACCAATCAGAATTTATGCAATATTGTTTTATTTGCAAGGAGTGCAAAGTTATCTCTGGAGCTTTAAGGTATTTTCATGTTTGATTACTTTGCTTTTAAGAAATTTTCTACCAATTCACAGTGAATATTTTAAAGAACCAAACTGAAACCACGGAGACAAAAGAGAAACACAAAATTGTCTGAAGTGCTGTATTTACTTTATGTATATTAGCTGTGTTTCCTGCTCCCATGATGTGAAACCCACACTTGCATAGATTGAGATCTGCTTTTTAAAGAAAAGAACACTTAATTCTAATGAATTGGCAGTAAAATGAAATAATGGCCATTCTCCTTAGTCTATGGTGTTTTTTCTCAACCTCAGGAACTTTAAGATGCATGGACTTCGCCTAGCAGGCTAATTCTGGGAATTGGTCCACATATCTTAAAGATGCTGTAAGAAAAACTGACCTATGCCCTCCCACTGACCCCAAGACAAATATTCACTATCATATAAATCCTTACAAACAGAAGAAATATTTTATTCTATTAAATCTATACCTGATTTTCTTTCAGGAACTTGAAGCAATTATACAAATCCCCCCCCCCCCCAGATCTAGTATTATAGTTTAGCCATAATCAAGTGGGGATGTGAAACTAATAACCCTATTCCTAGTCCAACACCATAAACACTACAGTATTGCTCCTTGAGGAATGTTACATAGTAGATTCAGGCTTTCAAGAATGTCTCTGGTGAAACAATGCCAATACCCTGCTACTCAGGACTGAAGCTTGCTGCTCCTAGCACTCACTCTGCCAGTGGGGATCAATACTTCTGTGAAATCTTGAATGACTACACTTGCACAATTCTATGGTAATAAATTACCATGTCACACCGTCTAACACACACTAATTGAAAGAACTAGCTGTATTATTATTAGGTAGGTGTAGAACATTATGTCTCTTAATCCAAGGACAGTCCGGTTTTCTCGTCATGGGATGAGGTCATTTGGGCCTTTTAAACACCCTGACTATCCCATTTCCATTACATTGAGATTTAAGCAGAAAATATGTGGACCCTGCATGATCCACCATTCACTTGACCACATAATAATGCTGTCATCACAGAACAGGCTGCCAAGGCAGACACTCACCTAAGCAAACACTGGTCTGGTGGAATCCACTCTTCATTTCCCCAGGTGATCAAATGGCACACTGGTCTGCAAATAAACAAAGAACTGAATAGGCTGCAGAAGGGGACCATAGGAAAGGTACAGAAGGATTGCCCTAGTTCCTCTCTCTTCCTTCTGAAGAGATGACCCCATCACATTCCCTCTTCTAAAATGTATCCCTGTCCTCACCCTGAGAATGATGTATTAAGTGGATAACTTAGGATGAATATATATATTTTTTTAAAAATCAAATGTTATTCTCAAAATGACTTTGATATTCTTGAATCTACTGGAAAAGGATTTTTCATACTTAAGTGACAAATATGACAAAAACAAATCCACAAAAATAGATTATGATGCCAACTCAGATACTCGAGTTACAAAGGCAATTGGAAGCAGAATTTCTGCCGCTAAGCAATACAGTCATAAAGTGCAACATCATGGGATTGACTGTATGTCGATGAAGATTCCCAGTCGTCCAGGAAGAGTTGTTTGGAAGTTGAGTAATGGCAACTGGATTTCACTGCTTATCCAAATAGCTTCTTCAGTCCGAACAAGTTGGTTAGAAGGATCCCATATATGTCCTCCAGGGAGGTTTTATTTCTCATCATAGGCTCGTTAGGTGAGTAGGCAGGGAGTTATTGGGATGTAAATGTTCCAACTGCTAAATCTTCTACCCTAGTTGAATCATTAAGAGTGGTCTCCCTGGTGAACCTGTGAAGTGGTCTCAATCTTCCTGGGGAATGATGAAAGAGCAGCATAAAAAATGGGGCACAGATTGTGTCTGAGGCCTCCATCTCTACTGAGGGAAGGATTTTCCACTTCGACATAAATGGACTCCTTCACTCCTCTCTCAAACCATCCATCTTCCCTATCCAAACTGTGGACATTATTATCCTCCAAACAGAGTCCTTTTTCTTCTAAATGAAAGAGCATTGCCAATTCTGGTCCTGTGGTGTTGCTTTCTCTGCGCTAGGCCACCTTCTTGTGTAAAGGCTGCTTGGTTTCTCCAATGTAGAGCTCTGAACACTCCTCACTGCGCTGGACTGCATGCACAACATTACCCTTACATTTTGGTATCCTCTCTTTAGGGTTGACCAGCCTCTCTTAGCGTGTTGGTGGGTTTGAAGAACAGAGGTATGTGGCATTTCCCAAATATCCATTTTAGCTCCACCAATAAACCAGCAGTGTAAGGAATGACCAGATTTTTCTGTTGACTTTGAGTCTCAGCTTTGTCTGCAATTCTTTTGTTGGATCCAAATGCTGATTTCTGTCCTGTAATGTAGTGTTCTGATGACTCCTCTGTCCTGTAATGTAGTGTTCTGATGATGTAGTGTTGAAATGGATGGTGGGAGTCAAACAGCAGGTACTGGTCTCTGTGTATGGGTTTCCTATAGATCTCTATTTCTAGGATGCCAATGATACCAATCAGAACCTCAGCCTAGGAATGTCAGCCTGTTGTCCTTGTTGTCTTACCAAGTCTTGGTGTTACTTGATGTTTTAATCCACAGTGTTTGTATAGTCTGTGAAAGCCTGTACTTCCTGGATCTTGATTTCTACACAGGTGACTGCATTGCTTATTGACGGAAATCTCTCCAGTTCCTATTGAGCAAGCACTTTCTTGCAAGTTCCTGCCAGCTTCCAACAATCAAAATCAGCAGGGAAGCTGGCAGGAAGTTGCAAGTCCCAGGTGACTTGCAAGCCGGCCAGCACGTAGGTAAATGGCTGCTGTCAGGTGGGAAAGTGTGTGTAAGTGATGGGGGAGGCGCAGTCTGAGTGTAGCAGGTCTGTTATGATGTCCCGAACTTGAAGGAGCCATTGTAACTACATTGTACATTCAAATGGTCACTGAACAAGTGACTGTAAACCGAGGACTACCTGTAGACAGAAGTCAGAATCCAAGGAAGTTGAGGTATCACATATCAATAATATTTATCCTCTAATATTTAGATTTTAAATATTAAATATTCAGTGAACTAGGATGGGATCTATTTACTTTTATTGCTGGTCTTATTGTGACTTGCTCTGATCATTTTTATCAGAAAAGATAATACAGAAATATGTTTTCAGTGAAATAGGATCATCAAAAGAAACTCACCTGTGATGCTGAAATCCGTGACACTTCTTGCCGTCCTGTGAGGTCAGATGAGGAGATGTTGGCGGGGGCTCCTCGGTGTAACCTCATGCTGACCTTGCGTTCCCTGTCTACCCGTGAAATTGCCCTGGGAGATGTGTTTCCTGGCAAGAAGGGAGTAATTATTTATAACATTGATATTTTGAAGTTATACGAACAAGACGAAAGTGAGAGAAGAAGGAAAGAAGGAAGAAAAGGAAAAGGAAGAAAAAGTTATATAGGGTGGGAACAGGGAAGTGTCCCTGGCATACTAAGGCTACATTCTATGGGCCCTGGGATGGTGGGCTTGTTGAATTTGTACTCTGAAAAGAAGCAGAGCTCCTGCTTCTAATACTGGAAGGGAGATGGACTTGTTCCTCAACAGGTTTCATAATTGGGATTAATCTATTCCAGTTTTGAAACAAATGGATTTACTCTTTATTGGCTTCAATAAGAGATTCCTTTAATAAAAAATTAATCTTATTTTTCAGAGGGATACATTTTCTGAAACAGAAGATAGGGTTGACCAGTCAAGATTTGGGATGAAAAGAAAGTGCTGAAATGCACAATAGATCAGCATGGCTGGCTATACTTCTGCTACCACTAAAGGCTTGCATGCCATTTTCTGTCCACTCACCAGACTGCTGGATGCGGGAAGTGGGTGTGGAGGCCATGGGTTCAGCGACATTGCGGAGGCGGTTAGCAGTGGCCCCAGCAGGAGGGCCAGGAGGCAGTGCCCGTGTAGCAGAACCCCGGAGCTGCCCCATCCTTTCCTCTCGTTCATGCTCTCGCCTCTCCCGGTCCATATCCTCAGGATTCCGGGCTGCTCCCTGAAATATTTAATGGCCCACAATGCTTTAATAACCACTGAGAGGTATCTATCACCTTATGCACATGCATGAACAACTGCAACAGTAGCTGAGAAAAGCTGAGAAGCAAAACTCCCTGATTTCTGCCTAATGAGTCAGAGTCTATTTTGCAGTCCTTTCCCAGGTTCCTCCACTTCTGAGTGGGACAAGACGTATGTGTGTGTAAGCCTGTAGCTATCAAGCTCTTTGCTTACACATTCAGCTTTTGCTGTACATCAGTATTTATCCTTTCAGTTCTGCTGCCCTAGGGGGAAAAGAAATCTAGCCAAGCAATATTCCGACTGAAGATTCAGTAAAACATCAGAATCCATTATTGTAGTTATAAAACATAAAGGCACTTGGAAAACAGATGCACCTTTGGAACTTAACATCTTAAAATATAGAAAATTAATCTTGTTTTACTATAGTAACTACCTACTTAGAAAGAAGTAAAATGTGGGCACTTCCCACTTTTCTGTCTTGCCACAGGGCTAGTGGCTATGTGTCAATGAGAAAATATACAGGGCCTGGATCTGTCTTGGGCTGTCTTTGGAGTTTCTATGCACTTAGGTCTTGATGCTACTTTTTAGGCAAGCATTATAAAAGCCACTATAATCACTACATTGAAAAGCTTATTTCACAAGGAAATCTCAATTTAGAACCCCATAAATACAATACAGGATTTCATCCCATTCCCCCCACCAATTACTAATTGGATATTACAAGAACCAAAATCCAACAAATTGGAGGGAACCAGGTTGCAAATTCTGGCTAATTTTTCCATTACAGGGACTCCAAAACATAATCCAGCATTAAAGAGAGAATGGCTTCATAGGCATCCTTAGCCTTCAGCCCCTCCCCATCTATGTGCAGCTCCCTGGTATGCAAATAATTCTACTATACCAATCACACACACCCCTTTAAAAATTAGGGTTACTCACAAATTTGAGCATATTCCAGTCAAATACATAGTCATAGGAGAAACCCTGACGGTGGAAGAGATTGCGGAACAGCTGCCTCAGATAAGAGTAATCTGGTTTGTCATCAAACCGCAGTGAACGGCAGAAGTTGAGGTATGTAGAGAACTCAGCTGGAGCAGAAATGAGAGACAGCAACAAGGAATAATCAGCAAGAACAATTTTATTCCTCTCTTGGCACTGTTATTCCACCACCCCCACACTGCCTATATATAGTTTCATGCTATAGATCCCAATAGCAGTAGTCCAGTTCAGAGGGCAGTGAAAGCCTTCTGTCTGCAATGCACACATTAATCTTAAGAAATGAAGGGGGTCATCCTACCCATCTAGATAAAATAGGAGCCTCCAAACATTTGGAGACAGAAGAAAAATTTGGAATTCTGAAAGCCCAGTAGGGACACTCCTCAAAATGACTGCCATGATGGATGTGGCCAGTCACAAAATACCTATTTTTAATAGTGCTTAGCAATAGCACTTAGACTTATATACTGCTTCATAATGCTTTACATCCCTCTCTAAGCAGCTTACAGAGTCAGTATATTGTCCCCAACAGTCTGGGTCCTCATTTTACCAACCTCAGAAGGATTGAAGGTTGACTCAACCTTGAGTCTGTGAGACTGAAATTGCCGAACTGCTGGCAGTCGGTAATCAGCAGAATTAGCCTGCAATACTTCATTCTAACCACTGCACCACCACGGCCCATATTAAAAGACAAACTGGGGAGACTTGCTATCAATTTTCCTTTCTAACCATCTCCAAATCATTTGCCTTTTTCGTAAACAGGTGGATCCCCAAACTGAGCTACAGATCTCTACAATTTTTTTTCTGTTTAGAAAAAAACTGGTATATGCCAGTTTGTATATACCAGGGGTTTTAGAAAAACTTCTGGTATATACACAGACTACTGAAATATTCTTGGAAATATTTGCAGTTCTCAATTGTGCTAGCTTTGTAGCAAGGTATTTTCCCATTTAACTTTTTTTTAGTTACAAAAATAGGAAAAAAATGTCAGGCAAACATCAAGGCAGTTACCCAATGGCACACTGAGGTTTGCAGATACCATGCTAAAGGCCCAAAAGATGAAAATTCATCCTGCCTTTTGATTCTTTTAAAATTAAAATTAAGCTGGATATGTTGGAGACAGGATTAATCTATTCTAGCTATTAAAATCCTCCCTGGAGTTCCCCTTTGGCTCCTTGTCACTAAAAGAAGATCTAGCTATTTTGGCCATGGCTCTCTGGATCTTTTCCAAAACTGAACCTAATTCTGCACTCCCTCCCCCCACCTCCACTCAAGTAAACATATTATTATTCACGCTAATCCTTAGTCCTATTTTCCATCTTTTTCCTCCAATCCATTTATGGATCCATCTAAACATGCAACTTTCCCTTCTAAATTCATACAAGCTACATATAATCTGCATACCATCTTTCTAACAGCTATTATCCTCTATGGTTTTTATTCCAAAAATATGAGACTCAGTGCTTTCTTCACTCAAAGGGCACCTCCATAACCACTTCTGAATTATAGTTGCTATTAAATGGCTAATAAAAGTAGGATTCACAGGAAAACTTGTAGTGCTGTCCAGTATTTTGCAAACAGACTAAAGAACTTCCACCTAAATTGGTAAGATAGGCTACAAAAAACTAGACTAGGAGTGTTAAATTGGGCACGCTTATGCCCACACCACTAAAAAAAGAACCTAGAACTTGAAAATAAGTACAGGGAAATCTTACAAGGATAGCCTTTGCAGAGCACTTCGATGGGTGTCGACATCTTCTTTTCACTGATGCGCTCGTATTTCTGTCGCTTTGTGGCAGCTTTTAGGCCTTGCCAAGGCAACGAGCCAAGATTGAAGTACATCAGTACGTAGCCCAAGCTCTCCAAATCATCACGGCGACTTTGTTCTGGAAAAAGACAGATGCAAATACAGGCATAGCTAGAGATGTTCCAGCAACAACTCAAAACAAAAGAAAATTATTGTCGTCTTGCAACAGCTCAAAACAACACTAGGAAAGAGAAAAAGACAAACTGAAAGCTACATAATCTGCTATTTGGTCTAACCTGCCAGGAATCCAAGCGTTTATTTATGCTTGCATTTAAAATGCATGTTAAGTGTTTCATTGCTTTTTATGAAGTCCTGAAAATCTATGCAGAAAGTTATAGGGAAGGCTCTGAAGCTGTATTATTTCATACAAGAAATACAGCACAGATGCAGAAATCATCTCTTTAATAGCCCAGTGTCCATAGAAAGAACAATTAAATCCTTATAATTAGATATCAAAAATATATGTACAACATCTAGCAAAGCTGCTAGTTTTGTAATATCAATGTTTGCTTCCGCACAACAGAAGCTGAATTAATGATATAAACAAATGTTAAAAATCCAGAGTTCTCTAACATTAAAAAATAGAGTTTTATATATAATTTCAAAGAGTATATTATTTTGATTTCTTATTATACACTCTACTGTTGTACCTTATTGATTTCACAGCCAGATTGCACAATAAAAATATTTAGAGTTGGTCCTATATTTTTATTTTCCACTTTAAATTCAGATTCTCTCCAACATCCAGAGAATGTCTTTAATCAAGATTACTATCCTCAAAGTAGAGACCAAGGAAATACATGTTATTTCGCTCTCATAAATTTTGAACTTCTCATCTTTTTCATATAGTACACCTTTTTCCAGTATGTCTTCTAAAACTCAGAAAAGGACCCCTAATTTAAAAGAAAATAATTATTTTAGATTTAAATTGTGGGATGTGAGATGGAGAGGTTAGAAGCAGAAATGGGGGAAAATTGTAGTATATAATTAAGCACTCCAATTCAATGAACACTTGGTCAGCTACAATGGATTTTGACTGAACTTTTATAATCCTGAATTTTTGGTTTCTCTGTAAAGGTAAAGGTTCCCCTCGCACATATGTGCTAGTCGTTCCCAACTCTAGGGGGCGGTGCTCATCTCTGTTTCAAAGCCGAAGAGCCAGCGCTGTTACCTTCCCACCAAAGGTGATCCCTATTTTTCTACTTGCTTTTTTTATGTGCTTTCGAACTGCTAGGTTGGCAGAAGCTGGGACAAATAACGGGAGCTCACCCCGTTATGCGGCACTAGGGACTCGAACCGCTGAACTGCCGACATTTCGATCGACAAGCTCAGCATCTTAGCCACTGAGCCACCGCGTCCCTCTGGTTTCTCTGTATAACATGCCACTTTCTTATTCGAAGTACATCCAGAACATTAGAGGAAATATTCTTTAAAAATATGAGATTGTTTTCATTAGTAATCATATTCCCCACAATCTGAAAAAAAGGGAGATTTGTACAAATTTATGCTTTTTTTTATCTACTAAAAAAAAATCTGCTTAATGAGACTTCAATATATTTTATAACTGGATATATTTTATCCAGTTTTATTCCTATCGTATGTTTGAAAGTCCACAAGCCAAGTAAGTTTTTAAATTAGCCAGTTGAGGATACTGTAATAGTATCTTTGCATCAGTGCTGAATGAGGTACTAGGATATTCTAGTTCAGGATATACCCCTTGGGTAATGTTGGGTCAGTCATTCACAGGCTGGCTTACCTTTTAAGAGTTGCTGCAAGAACAAATTAGAATAGGGAGAAAGAACCAGCACATTATTCTAAGCTCCCCAGAAGAAGTTCCCCATAGAAATGTTAGTCCTCGACTTAACGACCACAATTAAGCCCAAAATTTCCATGGCTAAGCAAGGCAGTTAAGTCCCATTTCACAACCTTTTTTGCCAGTTGTTAAGTGAATCACTGCAGTTGCTAAGTGAATCCAGCTTTCCCAATTGACTTTGCTGGTCAGAAGCCAGCTGGAAAGATTATAAATGGCAATCACATGACCCCAGGACCATGCTACTGTCATAAATACATGCCAGCTGCCTAGTGCCCAAATTCTGATCACATGACTCTAGGCATGCTGCAATGGTTGTAAGTCTGAAAAACAGTCATGTCACTTTTTCCAGTGCAGTTGTAACTTCAAACAGCCACTAAATGAGTGGTTCTAAGTTAAGAACTACCTGTCCATGTATTACCCAAAGCCACTATCCTAATTCACTGCCCCACGACACAAAATTCTACAAGGCAATGCCACAGGCTATCTAAGAGGGCTATGTATCGCTTAAAAATGCTTCTAAGCGCAAAGAGGCCCACGCAAGGCCCATTTTGTAATTCCTGAAAGTAAACATGCCTTTTCCTGAGATGATGCTGCAGTCCCAAGAAAAGACACAGCTGCATTAAAGGAGCTGCAGACAGGTGGGATGTTAGCATCTTTCTGTGTTTAACTTTGAGCTCCTATTTAGCCTTAAATCTCTCAAACTATCATTTTAAAGGCAGAAACGAGGGCCCAAACATTGCCTCAGAGGCAGAGCCATGTTTTATATTTTATTTCACATTTACCTGAATACCTTCCTGAACCCTATTTAACAAACAGAATAAAAAGGTGACATCTTATCAGAATTAGGTGTGCTGGGACAAATAGGGTTTTTTTTTTTAAAAAGCAACTCTGTCACCTTTATATAAAGGTAGAATACTGGCAATCCATTTTAAGAGAAGGGACATTTATTTATTTATTTATTTATTTTATTATATTTCTATACCGCCCTTCTCCTGCGGGACCCAGGGCGGTGTACAGCCAGAATAAAACATAGCATATAAAATTTAAAAACATTTTAAAAAACAATTAAATAATATTGGCCCGAATTTAAAACAACCCAATTAAAACCGAAATTCGATTAAAAACTAAGAGGATGGGATCAAGCCAGCCCAGCTAGATGGAACAAGTGTGTCTTCAGGGCCCGACGAAAAGTCCGGAGGTCTGATATTGTGCGTATCTCAGGGGGCAGGTCATTCCAGAGGGCAGGCGCTGCCACAGAGAAGGCTCTCCCCCTGGGGGTCGCCAGCCAGCACTGCCTGGCCGACGGCACCCTGAGGAGGCCCTCTCTGTGTGAACGAACCGGTCGGTGGGAGGCTATCGGCGGCAGAAGGCGGTCTCGCAAATACCCCGGCCCTAAACCATGGAGCGCTTTAAAGGTGGTCACCAACACCTTGAAGCGCACCCGGAAGACAACAGGAAGCCAGTGCAGCTCGCGCAGGAGAGGTGTTATATGTGAGCGCCCCGTCGCTTCCATAATCCCCCACGCGGCCGCGTTCTGGACCAACTGCAGCCTCTGGGTGCACCCCAAGGGGAGCCCCATGTAGAGAGCATTGCAGTAGTCCAGGCGGGAAGTGACGAGTGCTTGAGTGACCGTGCGTAGGGAGTCCCGATCCAGAAAGGGGCGCAACTGGCGTATCAGGCGAACCTGATAAAAAGTCCCCCTGGCCACGGCTGTCATATGATCTTCTAAAGACAGCCGTGCGTCCAGGAGGACGCCTAAGTTGCAAGCCCTCTCCGTGGGGGCCAGTGATTCACCCCCAATAGCCAGCGATGGCACCAGCTGGCTATATCGGGATGCCGGAAGCCACAGCCACTCGGTCTTGGAGGGGTTGAGTTGGAGCCTGTTTCTCCCCATCCAGGCCCGCACGGCCTCCAGGCACTGGGACATCACTTCAAGGGCATCGTTGGGGTGGCCTGGGGTGGAGATGTACAGCGTACATCCTGGCCTGGAGTGTCGTCAGCGTACTGATGGAACTCCACCCCAAAGCCACAGATGATCTCGCCCAGCGGCTTTACATAAATGTTGAACAGAAGGGGCGAGAGGACCGACCCTTGTGGCACCCCACAAACAAGGCGCCTCGGGGTCGACCGCTGCCCCCGTCAACACGGATTGCGACCGGTCAGAGAGGTAGGAGGAGAACCACCGCAGGACGGTGCCCCCCAGCCCCTTCAACCAGTGCAACATGATACCATGGTCGATGGTATCAAAAGCCGCTGAGAAGTCTAACAGGACCAGGATAGAGGAACAACCCCTATCCCGAGCCCTCCAGAGATCATCCACCAACGCGACCAATGCCGTTTCCGTGCTGTACCCAGGCCGGAAACCGGACTGGAGCGGGTCCAGATAGACAGCTTCATCCAGGTACCGGGGAAGCTGCCGCGCTACCACACTCTCAACAACCTTCGCAACGAAGCGAAGGTTGGAGACTGGACGATAGTTAGCCAAAATAGCCAGATCCAGGGAGGGCTTCTTGAGGAGGGGCCTCACCACCGCTTCAGACCCCCTCACTCAGAGAAGCATTAACAATCCCCTGGAGCCAGCCTCGCGTAACCTCCCGGGAAGCCAGTACCAACCAGGAGGGACACGGGTCCAATAAACATGTGGTCGCGTTCAGCCGTCCCAGGATCCTGTCCACGTCCTCAGGAGCAACAGGATCAAACTCCTCCCAGATAACACTCTCAAGACCTGCCTCAGTCATCCCGTCCGGACTTACCCAGTCAGAGGCCAGGCCTTCCCGAATCTGAGCGATCTTGTCATACAGATACTGCACAAAGTCCTCAGCTTGACCCTGCAAGGGATCATCCCACGCTTCCAGATGGAGGAGGGAGCGGGTCACCCTAAACAGGGCGGCTAGGCGATTATCTGATGATGCGATATGAGTGGCAAAATAGCTAGATTTCGCCGCTTTTATCGCCACTAGGTAGGTCTTAATATGAGACCTCACCAGTGTTCGGTCGGATTCGGAGCGGCTGGTCCTCCAACTACTCTCCAGGAGTCTTTTCCGGCGCTTCATCTCCCTCAGCTCCTCAGAGAACCAAGGAGCTAGGTGAGTTCGGTGCCGGGTCAGAGGCCGCAAAGGCACGACACGGTCCAAAGCCCCGGCGGCCGCACTCTCCCAGGCGGCCACCAGGTCTTCAGCCGAGTCATGAGCCAGAGTCTCAGGAAATGGCCCAAGCTCCGTCTGGAACATATCAGGATCCATCAGGCGCCTGGGGCGGAACCACCT